TCGTTGCACTCTTCGTACAGCTCGCAGAGCTCGGCCATCTCCGCCATGGCTGAAACCGCTTGACCACTTACGAAGCGCTTTCGGAAGGAGCAGGAATGAGCGGCCTGGCGGCTGTGCGCGTGCGCGAATGCCGCACGCTTGCGTCACCGAACGCGCACGCGCGCTGTCCAGACGCCACTTCCGGTCTGGCGCGCGGCGATGGCGGGAGTCGTTTCCGGTTCCTCTGATAAACTGCGAGGGGCTCGGTGGGATTCTTTCTTTAGGTGAACTCGCTGTCTCGAGACTGTAGGCAGGGTCGTTACCTGGTGCTTATGCTGCTTAGCCGTAACGTTGCTTACCACGCTGCGGACTGGAAAATAGTGTCCAGGAGCCACACCCCCAGGCCGCGCCCACCCTCCCAGTCCCGCCTCCTTCCCCACCCAGGTTGGTTCTCGAAGCTGCGGTCGTCCCCGGTCCCAGTGCGCATCCTCAGATTTACCCAGAGAAACGATCTGTTCTGCTCTTTGTTCATTTTTTCAAGAACAGTTTTCATTATTATAAACGACGAATAAATGAACATCTACACGTGCCAGTGTTTTTCTAGAAAACTTAGAGGAGTGGAAAGGCAGAATCAGTTTTGCGTGTTTTAGTTTAGTAAGTACTGTCGAATTGCTCTCCAAAGTTACTGTGCAAGTTTTAGCTGCAGCCAGCAGTGTCTGAGAATACCCACACACTCACTGCATGTGATTTTGTTGAACTATGACAACTTAATCAAGTTAATGGTGTCGTTTTATTTTCCATAACGTCAGCTTCTTGGAAAGTTAATTCTCTCTCAGTATGTCTATCTGACATTTGTATTTCTGCTGTGAATTAACTGTTCTTATGTCCAGTGGTTTTGTTACTGATTTGTAAGTATTCCGTATAACTTCTTCATGTAAATGCTTTTTCACTTTACAGTTACATTCTCCCTGCTTGGAATTTGTCTTAGTGTTCTTAAATAAAATTTTTAAAATTATTTTTTATGTAATCAGATTTAAGGGTTTATTTTCTGTTAAGATGAATTTTTCTGCTTCGGTATGTCTTGATATCTGATAAGGAAACCTCATCTTTCCTGTTGAAAAATTGCCTTACCTCTTTTTGCACATTTTTTTGCACATTTATTTTAACATGAATTTTAGAAGCACTTTAATATTTCTTTGTATGTTTTGTGTCTGATAAGGGAAATCTTGTCTACTTTTAAAATTTGCTATGGGAGTTTTTGCACATTTTCCATATTAATTTTAGAAGCAGCTTGAAAAATTCCAAAAATGACATTTGCAACCTTATTAGAAGTGCATGGAATTTATAGATAAATTAA